GCTTAATCCGAGGCACCTGGGTCCTGGCGCCTCCTCCACCACTTTATCCAGCTCTCTCACTCCTTCTCTCTTGCTGGGGAACTGGGTGAGTGTGCTCCTTACCAGGGCCTCAGGCACCCATCCTGAATTATCACAGCTTGTGACAGACCTTCTAGTGTTTCTTCCTTCATCATCTTGATATTTTTATAAAGAACAAACAGCCCTCTCCCTAACCAGACAACTGTCCTTGATCTAACCAAATGCGTCCACCATTGACAGGAGTGCCAGTTAATTTCCTTCCTCTGAAACTCAAGCCTACAAGCAGACATGTATGTCAAGTACCCCAACAACCAGAGCATTTTAATATTCTCTCCTATCTTCCCTCCTTATTTCCAAAATCCAAGTTTTTTTTCTTCCACTATAAGCAAAAAACATGTGGGAAAGTTCTTTTCAAAAATGCTCTCCCATACCATCTAAAGGTTTCCTGATTATCAAAGGAACCCACACAAGTACCGATGGAAAAGCCCTTCAGCACAGAAGGGGTGAGGCGTGGGGAGGTGTGGGGCCCGGGGATGGGTGGGGCTCTCTGCAAGAGGCAAGTCTGGGCTCAGAGGACAGGCTGGGTCCCTGAGCTGAGGATCTGCCTCAAGCAGTGGACTGGGAAGGGGTGGCAGGGGTACCTTGGATTGTCGTCTGGCTCCCGCAGCTCGAGGGTGCAAAGGGAGGTCGTGAATTTCAGTCTGCTGTTTAGCAAAGTTCACAAATACCTGGAGGCAAGAAAAGGACAAGAGTAGGTAGACGTTTCCAGAAAAGGGCACCCTCCACCCACCCACTTTGTTTCCTGTTTTCCTCAGTTAAGGTACAGCCCTGCTGAGCAGCTCACATCCTGCCTGGGGCTCGGGGCTTTTCCTCCCAGTTGTGAACTAAGCCGAGCGCCTGCCTGCAGAAGGATTCGCATGTAAGCAGGCGTGGCAGATTCTCAGGAGCGGTGTCCCCCTCAACCTCTAAAGGAGTAACAAAAAAAGTCCCAGCCCCCCAAAGCAGGAGTCGATCTCTTTTCCGTTCTTCCCTCAGTGTGCGGTGTGGCTGACCCCTGTCCTGCCTCCACCCACTTACACTAACCAGAGGGTGCCGGGCAGCCCGCTCCTCAAAGGGCGAGCGGAGACGTGCCCCTTCCCGCTGCTTTACTTTAAGGACGTTTATTTAAAAAACAAACAAGTGAAAAATTAAAGCCCAGTAAATCCCAGAAACAACTCCAATGTCCCTACGGATGAACGGATACACAAAACGTGATAAATACATACAGCTGAATATTATTCAGCCTTAGGAAGGAAGGGTGTGCTGACACATGCTCCCGCACGGAAGAACCTTGGGGACATTAAGTTAATGGAAATAAGCTGGACACAAGAGGACACGTACTGGATGACACACCTGTATGAGGTACGGGGAGGAGTCAACAGACAGTGGAACAGTGGTTACCAGTGGCTGGGGGAGTGGTTATGGGGAGCTATTGTTTGATGGACACAGAGTTTCAGTTTGGGAAGAGGAAAAATTTCTGGAGATGGGAGAGGGATGATGGTTGCACAGCAATGTGAATATACTTAATGCCACTGAAGTGTAATGCCACTTAAAAAAGTTACACACGTATTTTGTCACAAGAAAAAAGTGATCACATGGAAAAACCTGACACATGGCACACATTGATCAAAAATCACTGAATTGTACACTTTAAATGGGTGCATTCTAATGTATTTAAATTAAACATCTGTAAGGTTGATTTGAAAAGAAGATGGTCCCCTTTGGCCACCACCACAAACCAGGGGAAATACTGAAATATTGTTCCTGACATTCTGAGTTTTGCCCTAACAGACAGAGTGACTAGAGTGTTGGCCCTTGGGCACGTCCTGCCTCGCGGTCTGTGGATTCCTGCCGGGCGCCGGGCCTTTGCACGCCCCGCTCTGCGCGCTCTGCACGGGGCGCCCTGGCCGCCTTGCCTGGTCCAGCGTGGTCTGCGTGACCGAGTACTCCTCGATGAGCAGGCTGTCCTTGTGGGAGACAAGCAGCCGGAAGATCCTGGCCAGGGAGGAGGAGGAGACCTGGAACTGCAGCATGTTGTAGTGCCGCTCCCTCTGCACGCTGCCGGGGAAGCTGCCCTGGAAGAACCGCTCCACGGGGCCCAGGTCGGGGAGCACGTCGTCCTTCGGGCACTTGACCTTCATTGTGACGATGTAGCCGTCTCCAAACCTGGGGGCGCACGCGGCGGCGTGCGACAGGCCTGTTAGCAGGAGGGTCTCAGGCAAGCCCCAGATGAGGAGCAGACTCATCAGAAATATTGGGGGTGAAAGGCCCAAACTACAGACCTTGTGCGCATGTTCAAAACTAGGATTTAAAAAAAGCCGCGATGGCTCCTGGGAAAGTGGTGTGATGCTAGTTTTTAGGGGAGTAAATGTCTGTGTGGTGACGTGGGGCACCAGCCCTGCGTCCCAGCTTTCTCTGTCCACCTCCCGGAGGCATGGGTGCTCCCTGCCCCCTGCCCTCTAACCTGCTTGCTGAAGTCAAAGGGGGCTGAGCCCTGTGCAGAGACCACAGGCTGCCCGGGACGGCGTGTGGGGCTAGTGCCTACTCAGAGGGGAAGACTGCCTGGCCCTGAAGGAACTGGCTGGGGGAGCAAAGGCTTGGAAAGGCGGCACTTCCCCAGGGAAGCTTCCAGAACAAACAGGGCGGCGGGACCAGGGCCTCTGCCAGTCCCCTCCTCCTTCTCCAGGTCGCCTGCACATGGATGGAGAGCGGTCCACCAGCACGCGAGGCATGGCCAGTCAGCCTCCCCGCACGCTCAGACAGGGTGTACTCACTGCAGCGCTGCCCCGTGACCCCGGGGTGTTCTCCCCTCAACAAAATGCCTTTGCCTTTCAGCCCCAGGAAACTGTCCGCCACACGGGAACACTCCTTCCCTCCCGCTCTCCCCTGGGGACATGCAGAGTGAGCGGGGAAAGGAGTAGGCGCACCCGTGTCTCCAGCAGGTGGACGCTGGGAGTGGCTGACATGGGCCTGGTGACCGCACACGCTCAGGGCCCCTAGGTATCTGTGCGGTGTCTGAGCTGTGGTTGCTCAGAAAGTCATGGGTCAAATGCCCAAATGGAGCTAGTTCACTAGACCTTTCTCTCAATCATCTGTCTGCATACTGTGTGCTGTGCAAGACGGCCCCCTGGGGACATGGAGATGAGGCGGTTACGTGCTCTTCCTCTCACCACCTGGCACCGTGGCTTTTCTGTTCTGGGCTCTCGGAAAGTGTTTGATAAGTACATGAGGGCTGACTCTAAGTCCACCCTTCCTAGTTTGTAAAGCATATCAGACTGCAAGGGAGCACGGCAGCTTATCAAAGTCTTACCATAAGCGGCGGTCTGCTTCAGTACACACTGTCATTAATAACGCACTATTCACAGCAGTGTACAGTGCACAGGGGCAGGATAACCCTGCTGGAGATGACTGGCTGGCATTGCTGGTTTATCATATAGCACACGGCCTCAAACTCAAAAGCATACGGCGTGCCAGAAAGGAACCCTCATTACTCAGGCTGTTTGGCCTCCGGATCATTCCTATGTTGGTTGCAGAATTATTAAATTCTTATTAAATAGGTCATAAGTTCTGGATCTGATGGGATCTGGGATAGTGAGGCAGTGGTGGTGACCCTCCTTCATCCCAGCTGGGCTCTGCATTTGCCCCGATGAGAAGCCCCAGTGGGAGAGTCGGTGAGCCTTCAAACACAGGCAGTTAGCCTAGAAGAGAGGAGTTTCACTGCACAGCAGCTTTCTCCATCTGCTGCTGCAGAATGAGGCCCAGACATCACCTGCCTCTGTCCGTGGGATGAGGGGGCAGCAGGACCCCCCACATGTCAGCAGAGAGCACATGGCCTGGTTGACTACCCTCCTCTCCCCAGCAGGTAACAGGAAACCTCCCACCAAGTCCTTACTTGTACTTGAGGTGCTGAATGGTGCCCAGACACTGAAAGGCGCCCTTCACCATGATGGCCAGCCGGGTGCACAGGGCCTCGCACTCTTCCATGCTGGGGGCAGGGGAGAGCAGGTGAGGACCGGATTCCATGGCCTGCCTGCTCCACCCCGGCCCCTGGGGACCTCTTGCCTGTGGGAAGTGAGGACCACGGCTCTCCCTTCTCTGATGATGCTCATGATGGTGTTCCACAGCATGCGGCGTGCCTGGGGGTCCATGCCTGTGGTGGGCTCGTCCTGTGTTGGGGCACAGAGGACAGGGACCCGGGCTGGGAGCCAGTCTCTCCTGGTTCCTGCACCCTCCTTGGCTTACTCCCTCTGAGCAGCTCTGCTCTCTGGCAGACAGTTCACAAAGTCACTCCCCCATAGGCAAGACCCGGGGAAGCCCGCACAGGGTGTGGAGGCAGGAGCGAACCAGGAGAGTGAAGAAACCTCAGGCAAACCTCTAGACTGGCTTCAGCCCATGGGTGGGGTAAGGCTGATTAATGCAATGAGGGAATTATCTTAAAAAAAGAGAAAAGAATTCAATACATATGTTTGAAAGGAGGCAGGAAGAGAGCTCAGGTGACTTTTCAGGGTCCCTCCAAGTCCTGCAACCTATGCCTTCATAAACCCCAGACTTCATGGGCATGGGGGCCTCGGTTCTGGTCCAACTCTGGAGAGAACCACATGAACATCTGCTCCAGTCCAATTAGGGTCCTCAACAGGCCTCCTCAGGCAATGGTAACTTCTGACCAGACACGGACATTCTGCAGAGGGGCTGAACTTCCCTGCTGCGAGCCTGCAGCCCCACAAGAACTCAGAGCGAGAATGTGTTGTGATTCTAGTCCCACCCAAGAGCTGTGAACAAAACTCTGAGCTGATCAGCTCAAAATGAGCAGTATAGGGAACAGCCCGGACAAAAGCAGACCGCTGGACTCCCCAGATCTGCTGACCCAACCACGGAGATGCAGCACCTGGCACTTGCAAGCCCCTGGGTGGTCCCGGTGGCCCTCACCAGCAGCACAAGTGGCGGGCAGCCTATCAGCGCAATGGCCGTGGAGAGTTTCCGCTTATTGCCTCCGCTGTAGGTGCCGGCCAGGCGGTCCGCGTAGAGGGACAGGCCCAGGCTCTGAATACTCCAGTCTGTCACCTAGGGAAACGAAAGAAACTTCATCTGGGGGGAGAAAACCAAGCAAACACCCAAACCTCCACCAGTTCAAACTCTTGGGCTCCCAGGAGGACAGACCCCGCTGGGCTGAAACAGAACCGCCTGCTGCCGCGTGGGGCGGCTCGTGGCCTCCAAGGGCGAGACGTCTCCTTTCCCCTCTGGGCCTTAGATCCCAGTGTGGTTTGGTTAGCTCCGTACCCCTCAGGCGCATCCCCCTGAGAAATGGCCTTTCGCCTTACAAAAGCAGGAGAATGCTTCTCGCCCAGTGTCCTGCGACTAGGAGTGGGAGAGGAAGAGTCTTAGCGTCTGTATGAGAAGATGGTGGGTCCCAGCCCTGTTGACTCCACCCCTCATCAGGGTCACACTGTAGTCTTGTGCACACCTCTAATGTACACTGACAGAGTGCCCACCACGAGCCGGGCACGGTGCTGAACACTGGGGAATAATGGTGAACACAGCCACTGCTGCTGTACCAGCAGATCGGGGGACAGTGACAGACAATTAGACACAGAATAACGACAGACTGTAACAGCGCTCAAAGAGAACCCCGAACTAAACCATGACAGAGAGCACCCTGTGCGGGCACATGTGTTTGTGCGCACGCACGTGCTCTGAAGCAAAAGAGGGAAGTTTCTGGAGACAAGCCCACCATGCGCCTGCCTTCTGCGCTTGTGCCTCCACCTGGAATGTTCTTCCCCTAGACACCCACACGGCTCACGCAGCTCTTCACTCAGAGGCCACCCTGCCTAAAAGTGCAGACCCCACCCCAACAATTCTTTCCTGCTTTATTTCCTCCCCAAGGACTTTTTACTCTCAAATGTACTGTATATCATTTTTATCTTTTTATTGTCTGTCCCTCCCACTAGAATTTAAGCTCCCTTTCTCACCCTTTATTTAGAATACTTTCCAACCGACAGAATCGTGTAAGAACAAGAACAGTACAAAGACAGTTCTCTATTTTTCTCTCTCCTTCTCTACACACACACACAGTTTTTTCAGACCCATTCGAGGGCAGGCTATACATGATGGCCCTTCACTCCTAAGTCCTTCAGTGTCTGTTTCCTGAGAACAGGGACCCTGTCTCCCACAAGCACAGCATGGTTGTCACTGGCAGTAAAGCTAGCGTTGCTGCAGGGTTCTCTCGTGGAGCTCACCGCCTTCTGCAGCCTGCTTCTGTCCAACCGCCCAGGGGTGCCCTTCACAGCGCCATTTTCCCTCCAGCACAAGCTGCGGTCTGGTGTCCATCACTCAGCCACACTGTGTCCACTCAGCTTCCTGGGATCAGGAACCCCTCCCTACCCTTTCTCTGCCATTCTGTCTTTTATGATCTTGATAATTTTGAAGAATATGACCCCTATATATTTCTTAATAGAATGTTCCTGTAGAGCTTGTCCAATGTTCCCTCACAAGGTTCAGGCTGTGCGTCCCAATCAGAATATTACCAGATGAAGCTGTGTCCTTCTCAGGGGGTCACGTCCGAGCATGTGCCCCTCAGAGCTGGTGGTAGTTTCGGTCCCTCAGCTGAGGTGCTGTCTGACTCCTCCCCTGTTCCCCCCACAGCCCGTCAGCAGTCTGCGGGAGACACTTTCACGCCATACAAATATCTTGCTTTTCATACAAAATCTTCCCAGGACTGAAGACACACAGTCAAATTCTGCTGCCTCAGTTATGTGCGTTAGTTCTTTCCTCCCGTCTGTCTGACGGTTACATTCGTTTGAAATAAAAGTCGGATTACCTTGCTTTGTTTGCTTTCCGTGTCAGGATTTTCTGTCTTCACTTCTACCTCTTTCCCATTCTTATCGATTTAGTTTTGTGTTTTGAATATGTAGAACATTAACATGCTTCCAGAAGTTTAAACTAAACCAAAAATATCCTGAGAGAAGCGTTACCCCTTCCATTTTCCTTTCACCTCATTTCCCTCTTGCTGATCATCGCAGTCAGTCTTCCAGCTTATCCTTCCTGCATTTCTATTTGTGAAGATAACGGGCGTATTTATGCTTTCTTGCTTTTCTTTCTTACATTAAATAGTAGCATTCTACATGTGCTCCTTTGTACTTTGCTTTTTTCACTTAACAATGTCTCCTAGAAATAACTGTATCAGTTCAGAGATTTTTATTGTTTTTGTTTTTGTTTTTTTAATAACTGCATAAGACTTCATTGTATATATTTACCATCAGTTATTCAGCCACTTTCCTATGCCTGAACATTTAGCTAATTTCCAATATTTTGTGACTAAAATGCAGTGAGTAACCTTGTGCATATGCATTTTGTGCTGTGGGAGGTGTGCCTTCAGGGTAAACACCCAGAAGTGGGACTGTTGGATCAAAGGGTGAATGCAGATGTCAGTTTTGTTAGATACGAGGGCAGGAATTTTTTCTTCTGTTTTGTTCACCCCCGTTTTCTAGAATAGTACTTAGCACATAGCAGACACTCAGTAAGCATTTGCTGAGTGAATGAATGGACAGTGTGCTTGAGCTTTCCCATCTCTAAATATATGCACTCTCATGAAGCAGGTTCATGGTTTACCAAACTCGAGTGGCCACAACAAACCCTGTTTTACCCTCTTGATTTCCTCTGCTGGCACGCCTCGAAGCCGGGCATAGAGGTAGAGATGTTCTCGCCCTGTAAGCAGGTCATCAACTGCATCAAACTGAGGACAGTAGCCCATACTTCGATGGACGTCAGAAATATTGGTTAAAATACTGCAAGAAGAAAAAGCAGTTAGCAAGTTTCCCTCGCAAAGGGGGTGACCAGAGATCTGGGGCTGGAGGACTTTCTGTCAGTATGATAAGAAAGCGGCCTCTTCTCTCCTCCCATTGCGCTTTAGAAATGTGCACATTTAGGAATCAAAGCAAGGGCCCTTTGGTTAGACACTGATAAACTCCAGGAGTTCTGAGTTTTAAGTCCAGTCAGATTCTCCCAAGCTTCCCCATCAAGGATAAATTGAATACCTGTGACCCAAAGTCAGATATGTTTTTGGATTGGATCACAAATGAGTTTAAAAACAAAGAGAAGATCAAATTTAAGAAAATCACAAGTGGTTTTTGATTCCTTCAAACATTTAGGAAGCAGCTAGAGTAGATGTGTGCTTCCCAACGGAAGTAAACTTCTCCATTTGGATTTATTGGCAGAGATACAGTCAGTGAAAGAGGAACCAGTCAGATCACCCAGAGCAAGAGGCCGGCTGGAGAGATGAAGAGGTGAAGTGAACTGAGTTCTACCAACTCCCTTTGACCAATGTATTTTCCCCCACTAGAAATATATTGCCTTGATGAAAAAATAAACTGTCCATAGACTGGTCTAACTTCTTTCCCCCTTCCCTTACAGCTTAGGGCCTATAAATAAAGGATGGATGCAATCGGATGGGACAGAGAGAGGTCATGTATTTCCCCACCATGACAAAAAATACTAGGTAGGTGGGTACAGCTGGGCCAATTAAAACCACCCAGCGAAGCAAGGTGGGTGCTTCACCAAATTTACAGGAGCTATCCCACCAGAGAACCCCAATTCCATGTCTTAAACCTATAGTCTCTTTCTAGCTTCTATCTTATTTTACTTTCTGGGCATCTGACCATGTCTCCCTTGGACTACAGCTTGATGTCTTGTGGTAAATCCTATTACATCCTCCTGCCCTTCACTCCCTGGCCTCTCCCCTTTTGTTACCATCATGAAGTCATTTGCTTGGTTGCAGATTAAGCTGGATCTGCAGATGAGATGGATTCAGCCATGGCCTGGCTCCACCTCTGCTGTTCCTTTTGCTCTAGACCCAACAGGGATGGCTGGGGAAAGCTGGAGAACCAAATTCATCCTGTCTGAGCCAGTAAGGCATGCTCAGGGCTCCCCCAGCATCGGGCCCCAGTGAGCATCGGGCCACGTTGAGGATGGCTTTCAGGTGAGGAAAGGAGACCCCAGTCAAGTAGGTGCTGGTTAGACGTCAGCAGTGCCTAACTGCACTTACAAACCAGGGCAGAGAGCTCCTCTGGGCACATCTAATGTGTGTGTGAGCTCTGCTGGTCAAGGAGCAGCCTGGAAAGAGGCAAAAAAGTGCCAGTTCGCGTTCTTCGTCCGATCACATTGACAACCAGTCCGTTGCCATGTTCCCTATTACAGAGAGCAGCAGGCAGCCTCCTGGAATCCAGGGGCACATGCCAGCTTTCCCTGTATAAAGGAACTCTGGCTTGCTAAGTCAAGCTTCAGCACAGAAATAGCCAGTGCAGATTAAGGCCCCGAAGGCCCCCGAACCAGCCCCCACCTAGAAACTCAACCCGGTAAAAGGATGCTTCATGACAGGGGTTCTTAATGGGGCCGTGGGGCCAGCAGGGCCATAGACGTACTTCAGGGCTCAGTAAATTCCCCAAAACTGTTTGCAAAAATGTATGGAGGGAGGTAATGGGAAACAATGGTGCATTTTTGTAGGAAGAAGGTACATGTATTTATCAGATGCTCAAACGGTTAGCTGCTTATGATCCACAAAAGATTAAGAACCACTGATTTGGTGCTTCCCAGAATGTCCCAAGAATTCACACTAACAGAGGAGTCTCTCAACCACAATCAATTCAACTTCCAGAGAGTCCATGTCTTAGATTTTTTGACCATGTTTGCTGAGAGGTCCATGCCTCTGCACAGGTCTTTCAGGCTCTCAGAGTCACCCTCAGACACAGGGACTGAGGCCCACCCTTCCTGTGGTGGGACGGGGACATGGCTCAGGACCCGGGAGAGACACCCTGAGACAGGATGAGCAGGACACTCACCTCTTGCCTGCTACTGTGGCATCGCCTGAGGTCACTGTGGTGTCTCCAGTGAGCATCTTGAATGTGGTTGTTTTGCCAGCTCCGTTCACTCCCAGGAGGCCGAAGCACTGAAGGAGAACACACAGAATTGGCCTTGCCCTGGTGCCCAGGAGGGTCCGGGCGTCCTGACCCTGGGCCAGTGTGGGGGTAAGAGGAGGCGCTTTAGCCCTGTGCTGCCTTGACAGAAGTCACTAGCTGTGCTTGGCGTGAGGTAGCAGAATATGCCGCTTTGGCATAAGGATGATTTTGAGCTGAAGGCAAATGAGAAGATGTAAGAACAGCTCTCTGCCCTCCCCTCATATGCCTAAAAGCAGGACATCAATTTACAAGGTGTTCCCCTCCCCTCTACCAGGATGGACAAAAGTTCACCTCTGGAGACAACTTTAGATTCTGATCAGCCTGGAAATGCACCAGGGGAATCTGCATGGCAAACTTTACTAAATAGCCTTTATCTACCTTCAGCTTCCCACATGCTTGTCTTCCGACAGTTTGCCACCTAGAAACTGTAAGGTCCTTTCCTTTGCCTTGTAGCTTCTCTAAAAACGTATGGTTCCTTTGCTAAGACGCAATTTAAGCCCAAGTTCTAACCACGGCCTTGGATCAGCCATCTCCCCTGCGTGTGTGCGACACACATGCTGACAAACTTCTGTTTTCCTCTTGTTAATCTGTCTCTTGGAAGTCCAGTTTACAGAGCCCTGCCCGGGAACCCAAGAGGGTAGTAAGGAGCAGTTTTCCTCCTGGACGGCTACTGAGCGCTAGAGATGTACCTACATGTGCCGCGAGGAAAACACACGCTGGACTTTAAGACAGAACCATAACAAGAAAGAATGTAAAGCATCCAATAAATAATGTTTTATATGAATTACATGCTCAAATGATAGCACTTCAGGTATACTGGACAAAATTGACGAGTAACATGAATTTCACCTGTCCTTACTTTTCTCACGTGGCTACCAGAAGATTAAAGTGACCTATGGTGGCTTGCGTTTTATTTCTACTGGACAGCTCGCTGCAGAGATGAGAGATGGGCACAGGAGCTGATTTTCTGAGGCCCTTGCATGTGTGGTGTACAGAGTACCCACCTCCCCAGGGCGGACTCCCACACATAGCCTGTCCACCGCCGGGCTGGAGGCGCCGGAATAAACCTGCAAGATCCAGAGGAAGTGGATTGAGGGCAGAAAGAGGGTTAGAGCGAGGAGGGTAATAGTGAGGGAGGGTCTAGGCGAAGGGTACATGCTGACACAGGTGTGCACAGAGGTGCTGTGAGCACTGCGGGGCCTCGAAGCTGACCCCCCGTGCAGAAGTGGAATGCAGAAAGGCTGCAGCGCTTTGTGGCAGTGCCCAAGATGAATACTAGGGAAAATCCATTGAATGTTCTTGGAAGACAAGTTGTAACACAGACATGGCAACCCCACAGAAAATTAGGGAAAGGAATTCCTTGCATAAGCCTATTGCTTATTCTATAGAAGGCAAAAATTACAACGTTGTGCCTTCTCTGGTCCGACCGGCACCTCCAAACCACCACGCTGGCACCCGTTCCCTTACCTTTGTTAGTTCATTTAGCCTTAAGATATCAGTTTTATTTCCTCCACTAGTAATTCTTTGTCTTTCTTCGGCCACATCATCATCTTCATCTATGATGGGCTCCTTCACTGGCTGGGTGGTCCTGGGGGAAGGAGCGCGGACAGAGCGGGCTTGTGGACGGCGTCCTCGGCCCTGTCCTTTTCATCTTCCCTTCTTCCCATCCCCTCGCTTCTGCCCCAGCCTGGCCTCCATCCCCTAAGGCTGGAGCTTGCAAAAGGACTCCCCGCAGGAGAGCCGTCAGGCAGTAGGCAGACAGGGCAAGACCTCGGGTTGAGAGTCAGCCCTGGGCACATCACCAAACCTCTCTAAACCTCACCTCCTTTATTAACCATAAGATAGGGAGGGGGTAAGAGTGTCTACCTCACAGGATTGCGGTGAAGATGAAACTGGCTCAGTGTCCTACACAGAGTCAACACTCAAGGCCTGGTGGCTGGCATGTTGTAAACCCTCCATCTATGGTGAGCCCTCAGTGAATGACAGCTACGAGCGACCAAGCCTCCTCCTCCTCCGAGTCCAGCAGGTTATCTGATGACCCCAACCACAGTTCTCCGCCCGCTGTAGGTTTAAGCCCTAACTCTTCGGCTGGAATCCTAGGGCCGTGCAGTCAGGCCCCACCTGCCCTTCGCACCTGCTCCCCTACTTACCTCTTGAACTAAACCCTCTACCAACCATTTGACCTGCCTGTGGCCCCCCAGCCCCTGCCAGCCTTTCCCAGCTCCTAGTCTCTGCAGGCGTTTCCAGCAGCTCAGCGTTCTCGTCCTCCTGCCCTGCCAAGTAGAATCCTCCCCACCCTTGAAAACACAGCGTCTTCTCTGAAACCCTCTCTGACCTACAGTCTTTCCATCCTCCCTCATTGGCTGTCTGCGGTTCATGACTAAGCCTTGTCTAACAACCTTCCTGCTATTATCTGATCAGTGTATTCACTCCTTCTCCTAAGGCCCCCACTTCTTTCCAGGCTACCACTGTCTCTTGCCTGGGTGCCAAGTGGCCTGCCTGGTTTCTGCTTCCAGTCCTGGCAGATCATGTCACTCCCCTGATTAAAACACCCCAACAGCTTTCTGCTGCCCTCAGGCTTAAATTCTAAGTCCCCACCAAGATGAGGAGCATTTCACGACCTGGCTCTGCCTTCCTCTCCAGGCTCAACTCTTCATACCCCTCACCCTCTCCTTTCACAGCCACGCTGAACTCCCCACATGCAGGCACGTCCTTTACCAAGAGTCCCTCTTCCTCCTCCCACCCCTTCCTCTCTTTGCCTGATTCTCTCTCTCAGTGAGGGCATGGCTGTGAGCTTCCTGAAGCAGGACATTGTGGAACGCTTCTCTGCTCCTTGTTCCAACCTAACGTGGCAGGACTCACTCAATTGTGTGACATCGGAGTTTGAAGTTAATGAGTCAGTTTTAGTGAATAGCTCCCCTGACCCTCTGCAGCCAAAGCTGCAGGGGAGCCACGGACAACAGCCCCTCACACTGCCTCCTGCTCTAGAGCCACTTTCCCGTCCTGTCGTTTCATTCAAGTGTGTTGACACCCATTACTTCATTCAATCCACACAACCCTGCGAGGAGGGAGTGAGATCCGTTTCCAATAACTCAGTTCCCTGTGGATCAAAACCTAAAGACAAGTCCTTGGAACCTGTATTTACATGTGACCACGTGCAGCCTGAGAGCATGAGACGGTGAGAAACAAACATTGTCCAAGAAAGCTTCTTCTCAGTGCCCAGCGATTTTCAATTCAGTAAAGGTTAGCCTGAGTTGCAAAGGGGCTGCCTTCTGGAAACCTGAGTGCCCACGGGAGAATGAGGGAGGGCCTGGGGCAAGAGCCTGGGGAAGAAGGGCACAGCTGGGCTGGATCAGGGTTGGCAGGCATCTCCCTTCCTGCCCAACCAGCGGGGCAGGATCACTGCCCCATCCCCTCCACACTGCACCTGGCTGCCTTCCTTCGGACATCACCCCCATATGACTCCCTTCCTCCCCTGCCCTAACCCCACTCTCAAATCTCTAATTAGCAAAGGGGCCTGTTTTTCCTATTTTCTCATGAATGCATAGATCTATTTCCTAGTACTTTGGGTACCAATTAACCGTTATCTTTTGCAATGCTATGATTTAATTATGAGTATTTGTTTAATTAATATGAGTATCTGTTAATTAAATGAGTGGGATTAAATATTAGAGATTGTACTTAGCATTGTCTTTTAAACACTTTGAAGTTTAAACTCTTCACAAAGTTTAACGTGCCTATTTTAATGTGTCTCTCCTTGTGTTATTCAGAATAGGCCAGGCTTTGAGAGTGTAAAACACATCATGGAGTGGGGCTCATAAGAAAAGAGATGACCACATGGATGGACACAAGGCGGTGGCAGCGGCTGAGCGTACCATGGGCTGAAGAAGAATTGGTACTGGATGAGGAGGGTCAGGAGGAAGTACACCACCCCTTCTGCTGCCATGGCAACCAGGTTCTTCCCAATCAGGTCCCACTGGAACGGATTAGAAGAGTGCTCCTCACCTAGGGACGGAGGCCACCGGAAATGGACAGGAGTTAAGTCCACGTAGCTGCTCCAGCTTTTCCTGAAGACCTAGTTACAGCACTCGGCCCAGCTGGACCAAGCCTTGTGCAAGAGATTAAGTCAGAGCCAAACCCGACTCTCATCTTGGCTCCTCAAGTCAGAGTAGGGAAGAGCAGGAGCCTGACCTTGACCCCTCTGGGTCTCCTCAGCCACCAAAGCAGAGGCACCTCGACCCCTCCTAGTGTCAGGAAAATCCCAGACCAGCCAGGTGCCCCAGCCCCAGTCCAGGCTGCAGGTCCGTCACAGGAACTCCCCCTGCAGCCCTCCCGGCCTCAGAGGGCCACGTGGCTGCTACCCACCAAACCGGGCATAGACGTCTGTCACGGCCTGGCTCAGCGCCAGGTCAATGAGGCCCCGGCCCAGGCAGAAGTGGGGGAAGATAATGAGCAGCTTCCTCAGCATGGCATTGAACCAGAGCAGCGTCTGAAACACAGAAAAGCAGGGCACTCAGTAACGGGGGCCAAGCCTGTCCCCCCCTGAGCGGGGAGGGGCCTGGGTGCCCTCACGGGCAGGACCCGGGCGGGGGGGGGGGGAAGGCCTGCAGCCAGAGGCCCCAGCAGCCAGACCGCCACCGGAGAGATTTGTCAGTCAGACGGGGGAGGTTTTGGAGCCCTCACAGGAGGTGCCTCTGGCCAGGCAGCCTGCTTGAGGAGCTCCCACTGCAGACTGACTGTGACATTACACAGCAGCCCTCCAAGGCCTTAGTTATGAGGAGATGCAGCGGCTGCCCGGAGTGTGGGCCGAGCTCTCTCTCCTCTGGTACAGCCGCGAGCCGCCACTGGGGCTGAGACTCCTTCACCGGTTCTGTCCCAGCCCAGCTTGTACCAGAGGGGAGAGGGGCCCTGAGCCTCTCCCAGCTCTGCTTCTCAGCTCCCACGGGGCAGCGATGGCTGCCTGCGACTGTCACCAGCCGAGAGGACGGCCTCTGTACTGAGCTGGAGGGCCTCGTTTTCAGGCGGCAGACTGGGCTGGTTGTTCTGTCCTCAGGTGTCAGCGGCAGGAAGCGGAGCCTCCGATGGGGAGGGGCTGACCCACTTACCTGGGCCCTCGCTGCCGCACAGCCTCCTGCACGTTACCTCTTCTCTCTCTGCCCCTCCCCACGTCCCGTACCAACCCCTCTGGGAAGGCACGATGCTTTCTCGTCTCTAGGCCTTTGCGCTTGCAGGTTCTATTAGCCACAGCTACCAGCAGGAAAGAACGCTTTCCCCCTCCTGCTCTCTGGCAGACCCTGCCCTTCTTTAGAAAGCTAGCTCAAACAACCCCTTCTCTAGCAAGCCTTTCCGGATTCCCGCCGTACAGCAGCCAGTCCCTTCTTCCAGGACTTACCACACCGCCATGGTTAACTCGCTTTCTCACCTGCCTATTTTCTCCACTACTCAGAGGTCCCCAGAGGACAGGAACTGGGCCCAAATCATTCTGGCGTCCTTCCTGAACACCTCGCACAGTGACGAGCCCGTACGAGGCCCTTCATTATTTACTCAATGGGCTGATAAAATTCTACTTATTCCAGGCGAGGCTGAAATTAAAGCTCCTCCTGACCCTCTCAGTCCAGCTCTTCTGGCCCACTTGGGTCTGCAGGGTTTCATCTGCCTCGCTCCTTTGACGTTCTGCCACACGCTGTCTTGTGGGACGTCATGCCCCGTGGCTTATGCCAGTTCCTAACTCGGCGTGCAGGTCACTTCCTGACTGGGGGCAGGACGAGTGGCCACAGTTGTTTATGTCGGCGCATCCATCACGTGGTGTTCACCGTGGATGCCTCTTGACTGAGTAGACACAGCAGCTCTGGGACCCGGGGAGCCTCCTGTGGGATGTGGGGATTCCCACAGCATCTTTCTAGTCCGTAGTTCACCTGGAAGCAACCAGCTTTTATGCAGGGCAGGAGGTGCCCTCAGTAGTTGTTGGCGAAGTGAGTGCAGCCCGCAGGAGGAAGGATGTTTTGAGCTGCTTTAAGCTTACTATTTAATTATTCTGAAGTAATACACTCTCTTAAGACTTGATGGGCTGTGAGCCTGTGACAAAAACGGCTAAGAAAAGCAGCATTATCAGTCTGCCGGGCTGCTCTGGCCATCGGTGAGAGCTAGCTGTGGTCGCACCCACCTCCCTTCTGGGGTCTGACTGTGACGTGGTACATTTTTTATTAGTCATGGGACAGATGGGGTTTTGCTTCTTGCTTAGTGGCCACAGAAAGCCCGACAAGGTCTGGGAAAGAGTTGCTGTCAGGAGGCCGTGGGACTTGGGGGGTGGGGGTCCTCCCAGCAGGGCCCAGAGGCAGGAGTGGGGACAGGGGCCACGGACTGGCAGTGCAGACGCGCTGGCTGGTGCCCAGGACTTACCGAGGGAGGGAAAGGCTGGAGAGGCGCTGGAGAGGCGCTGGGGACACAGGCTCACGGGAGAAGGCTACCAACCCCGGGGACTGTTCCCAGGATAGCCATGCCGGGGGTTTGGACGCAGCGGGCTGGGAGATGGAGTGTGGGGCAGGACAGCCCTGTAGCCACTGCCAGTGTTTTTAGGATTCATTCTGGCCAGCTCTTTCTGGGCAAGGAGAGGCCTGGGGGGTGTGGATGGGACAACTGGACTTCATAGCTTATAAAAATGAGCCATTCAGCATTATAAATTCCTAACCCTAACCTCAGGGTAAATTTTCATGTGGAATAGTATATGTTACTCTGTTACAATATGTGTAGGAAACTGGGAGAGAGAATATACATCTCTGCGCACGTGTCTCTGGAATACATAAGAAACTCAAACGAAAGTTTGCTTCTGGAGAAGGGAAGCGGGCAAGTGGGAAACAGGAGTAGAAAGGAGACTTTTCACTGCATGCCTTTCTGTTCTTTTTGAATTTCGAAATCACATGATGATTACGTGTGTGTATGTGTGTGTGTTTGTAGAAAACTTAACACTCAAAAGTCCCCAAGGAAATTTTCTTGAAGGAGTAAGAAGGTCTAAAAGCTTAGGATTATGAAAGGTCATTTATAACTTGCAGCATGAGCCCAGGAAACCATGACACTCAGAGCACACAAATGAACAAGGGGTGTGAAGAATAAAAAAAAAAAAGAAAGAAAGAAAAGAAGGAGGGAAGGGAAGGAGGGAGAAAGGAGAGGGGGAAGCAACATTCATTTATACGAAGACTGTCCAGACACGGTGCTTGTCCCTCGCTCTGCTTGACCATCGCATCCTCTCCTGTGTCCTAATAATCAAACAAAGAAGCCAAGGAAGTCACGCTTACCCCGTTGTTCTCAAATAATTCCAAGATGAAGGTGATGGCGCTGCTGTTGATGCCGATGAACAGGTTAGCACAGGATAGGGCCACGTATGCTGTGCTGGGGACATCAAACAGGAAGGATGCTGGGTACATCATGGGGATGACGGCCCACCTGTGTGAAATGACACAACTCAGCGGCCGGAGCTCAAGTTTCCATTCCACCTGCTGTGCCCCTAGACATAGTGCGTTCCCCTCACACAGGGAGTGATATGTGTGAACTGGCAAGAGTCCCAGGGGGACCAAAAAGATACTCCATCTCTTGGTCTTTGTTCCTCATCTTTGAATGGAGACAGCGGTGCCTTCCCTGACCACCTCACGGAGGTTTGGGAGGAGCAAATGGGATGGTAGCTGTGAATGTGCTTTGTAAATTATAAAGCCTTATCCAGCGCGCAGGAGCACTGTCTACCCTGCCACGCTTCGCGCTCTGGCTGGATCAGGAAAGCCAGGCTGAGGTCCCAACAGGTTCATCTTTACACTTCGCTGGAGCTGATGTGTCACAGTCACGCTGGCTCCTGAATCCTGAATTCACCCACTTTCAAGAGAGGTGAATGGAGACCGTGCTCTGGCAAGACTCCACTGCCCCCTACAGGAAGGGCCAAGTATCACGACCTCCATTTTACGGATGAGGAAACTGAGGCCCAGGTGGGGTGAATTACTTGTCCACAGTTACACATACAGCAATTGGTGGGACTGGATGTAAGTTGCATGCTTTGCTCTATAATTCTACTGGATTTAATTCCTGTGCTAGCCTCTGGCTCTGACCCAGGAGCAGCTCTTCAGCTGTAGTCTTCTATGTGCAAATAACTCTTGGCCGGGACAGATGGAAACACTGAGATGGACAGACTGGCCACAATGAGTCAGACTCAGAGCTTGGTGAGGAACTGGGGAGTGATGGATTCCCACACTTCCACCAGGTCACAGTTTAAGTGGAAGAAGATGAATATTCAGGCCATGTGGGGAGTCTCCACTGACCCCAAGGGAACCGGTCTGTAGGAATACCTTTGTGTGTGGAGTCAGAACAGAAACCAGACGGACTCCTGGCTAGCATCCTCAGACCCTGCCGGGTGCTAGAAGCCCAGCTCACCCCTGGAAGCCCGGTCTTCTGCCGGAAGGGCAGGCCCCTCTCTGGCTCCTCTTTCGGCAGCATTAGCTGCTGGCCCACAGGACTCACCCGTACAGCATGAGCAGGGCCACAAGGGCTGGAAGGCTGTCTGGAGACGTGTAGGCTTTCTTCTGGAACCCGATGAAGATGCCCACCACCAGAGCCGCGCTCACGGAGTAATTCATCTGGCGGAGAGAGGAGGGGAGCACGCACCTCACCTCTAGAACCTCTGCTTCTTGTTCTGGAAAACGAGGGCGGGGCCAGGCCCCTCCAGCACTCATGGTTTGGGGTTCTGATTCTATTTGAGCAGTTCTTGGCTAGCAAGCCTGTGTTAAGCTGTCCTTAGTCCTCCTACCCCACCCCACCCCCACCTCCCTCCACTGGGACCCTCCAGGCTGTATGTTTTGAAAGAATGAATTATAAAATTCCACTTGATCTCCCTTCTCTCTCTCTGATTGGTCACAAATCCTCCTGACTCTACTTTCTAAGCAATGTCTCCAGAATTCAGAAAAACATGTAGTCCTTGGCCTCACAAAGGTCAAACAGTTGATTCCCTTTCATCACTTCTCTTCCTACGCGATCCAGGCCTAAAGCCGCCAGGACGGACAGGGAGAGGAGGGCAGCCACGTGTGGGCGGGGGAGAGCCACACGCTCCCAAGAAGGACGAGAGCCCGAGGGGGGAGGGGGGCATTCGTGCGGACGGACTGGTGTGGGGTGTTGGGGCCCCAGTCAGGTCAGGAGGGTGTCCCTGTGGGGCGTCAGAGCCCAAGCAGAACGAGGAGGGCCTCACGTGGAGAGGAGGGTCCACGCAGGGGAGGGGATGAGGGCGAGATGGGGGACTTATTATATACAGGTGGTTGCTCAGGTAGGTGAATCAGTCAGGGACAGCAGAAGCCAGTTTCTCACTTTTGGAGAAGGGAGTTACAGATACGGAAAGACAGAAAACCAGACTGAGCCTGTGTTACTGGGTTGGAACTAGTGGTTTTAGTGAATGTTTTGTTCCGTGTGTAGACAGACAGAGAAGTATCGGTGTAAATGTGTGCGTCCACATATATGCATGCATATCTCACCTAGTTCTCTGTACTGAGAAGTCCTGGGACCACTGATACCCAGTGGCAGTGACCATATCTAACACCTAGATCTTGGTTTTAGAGGGACATTTTCCACTGGAAGGAACCAGAGCTCCTTGGGGAGACGGTTGATTCCAGGGTAGAGCTGGGGGGAGGTGCAGGATGAACTTGGAACGTCTTGCTGTGCCAGAGAACACGGAGGTGCTCACAGAGTGTGGGGCACAAATCAAGAGGACACAGGAGCCAGCGTGAAGGGGCTCCCACTGGCAAAATGGGATAATTTGAGCACCAAAAAAAGTAAGAATGGCATCAGACTGCAATCTGTTGATTAACCCAGAAACCATGACTCCATACAGGCATAAATAAATAAATAAATAAATAAATAAATAAATAAATAAATAAATGGAAAGTTTGATAACAAACAGGGTATTTACATAGCTTCAAAGTACCGCTCGCCCAAATCTCATTAACTCTAAGGGGAACAGAGTAACCTTACAGTGGAGAAGCTCAGCAGATAGCATCTTAATCAAATGACCACGGTGAGCATCACCAGTAATAGGATGAACTGAAACCGGAAGCTACCTGACAGGAGACGGTGAGACCAGAGCGTCCTTTCATGAAGCTGCTGCCAGGGCTTAAAGCTAAGGAACCTCAGGCAAAACCCGATTAAGGGACAGTCTGCAAAATAACTGGCCTGGGGTCTTCAAAAGTGTCAAGGTCATGAGTGTCAAGGAAAGACTGAGAATCCATTCCAGGCTGAAGAAGACTGAAGAGACGGGACAACGAAGTGCAACGCGCAACTCTTGAGTTGGAGCCTTTTCTGTAAGAGGCCTTGTTGGGTCAAGTGACGAAGCTTGAGTGGGTCTGGGCATTAGATGGAGGTGACGTGTCAGTGCCAGCTCCCTGATGCTGACAGTTGTGCTGTGATTGTAGGGGTGTGTCCTCATTTGCAGGGGGTGCACACTGGAGGTGCTGGTTTGTGTGTGTGCATGTGCATGGGCATGTGTGTGTGTGTATGTCTATGAAGGGGCACTTGTTAGGAAGTTACTCTCAGATGGCTCACAAAAAAGGTTTTGAACTGTATTTCTAATGTTTCTGTAAGTTTGTGATTGTTTCAAAATTTAAAAGAAAAACAGGTGACATAAAAAAAAAGAACCCAAAACATCATATATGTGCTGAGTGAATGATATAAACAATAAAGGTTTGTTCATTTATTCAACAATGACCACTAGGGATATGTTATCTCTCTGTCACTGGCTTACGAGGGTGCTAAGCTCCAACTCTATAGGTGTTAGGGTTTAGATTCCAGGCCAGCCTTAAAACTCTGGAGCATCAGGAAGCCTGCTGGCATCATGTTCACTGTCTCCTAACTCTTCAATAGAATGCCAGGTGTCTACCTTGCTAGCATCACCCCCACCACACACACCCTTAAATAAAATTCTCACTGCTCTCTGTCCATCAGTTTCTCCTTAGGCTCAGAGACCTCTGTCTTTAGCTAGGCACACACATGGGTCAGCCTCTAATGTAAATGCTGTTTTTTGTTTTTTGAAAAAAAAGCAGAATGCAAAATCCAGCACTTTAATAGCTTTCCAGTGCTGGTGAGCCAAGCTCCTCTTGTGCTTAGAGCACAGGGCCAGCGGGGTGACTGCTAGCAACGTTCTTGTCCAGCATGAGGCTTATTGGCTCTGACCTCCTCCTACGTGTTCATAAGTGTTACCTCGTAGACAGAGGAGAGAGGGAAATTCGTTGTTGCTAATGATTTCTGGTTTTGTTAAGTGATGGCTGCTTGGTAAGCTGAGTAAGATAAAAGAAATCATGCCTTCATGAACCCTAATATTTGCCATCGTTATGAAAAACCTTAGTGGAGAAGGTTGTCTGTGTTGGTCTCCATCGTGGGATCGGTCTTATCATCACATGAAGTGGAGACTCGCGCTAGTCTTAGAATGTTGAGATAAAACAAAACGTCTTGTTTCCCAAGACGCCCAGGATAGCCTGGAGTTGGCGCCATAATGACCCCTGCTCCATTGTAACGAGGCTGTTGCTGTCAATTCAGTTTGACCCTGTGACCCGTCACAAGGTAACCCGCCCTGGCCCCTCTCTCCCCCGCCAGTCCAGGTTGTGAGAGGGATAGTCCGCTGTTGACTTGATGAGTAATTTTTCCCTCGCGTCCCCTACAGTGGTAGCTAATCTGATAGAGTGAAGACCTGGTTACTGTGGGAAAGCAAAATAAGGCCACCGGACAGGGCTGCCAGATTTAGCAAATAAAAGTATAGGAAGCCCTGTTAAATTTGAATTTCAGGTGAACAACCAGTACATTTTTTTAGTGTCAGTTTGCGATATTTGGGGGTGGGTAGGATAGACTTATATTAAAAATTATTCATTATTTGATCTGAAACTTAGATTCAACTGGGTGCTCTTTATTTATCTGGCAACTCTACCGTGGGGGCGGGGGGTGTCCCATTTTTACCCCTTTAAGGGTGGGGCAAAATTTAAGAGGAGGGAGCAGGGTGGAGGACCTCTCGCTGTTACTGCTTCAGCTCCGGATTATTCCCCGGAAGGCCAGCCTCCTGCCAGCAGCGCAGAGCTTACTCGGTGGGTCAGAAGGCCCCTGTGCAGGCGTGCAGAGCCCCCACTCAGCAGCCACTAAGCTGAGCCCCGCATCTCCCCCCACGGTGGGCGCTTGGCACAGCGCCTTCCAGCAGCCCGGGCTGTACGAGAGCCCCACAAAGGCCCGCCCTCTTCGGCCCACGGAGGTGACGGAGATGCTGTGATGTGGCACTTACGATGTCCCAGAGGAAGTTGGTCAGCCAGTAGGTGGTGGGGCTCACTCCACTGATAAACTGGAGGTGCCTGGCTTTGTTCACTCTCTCCTGGATCAAATAAAGGACAAAGCTGGCGGGGACGAAGGACATGGCGAAAATCACGCAGATGGCCACCACGGCATCCACCGACGTGGTCAGGCTGCAGAAGAAAGGAGACGCAGAAAGAGAGGTGAAGGAGGGGCAGGAGGAGGACAAAGCCAGGCTCTGGGAAGGCCTCTCCATACCCAGGTGATGGCCTCCAGGAGCCCCTTCCTCAGCCTAAGGTTCGCTGTCCCACTCAACTACCTAAATCAAACTGCATCAAGGTTAAGTGGATACTGGTGGGTTTCCTGTTCCAGGTTATCAAATATGTTTAATATAAAGATGTAGATAAAATTTCTTTTTATTACGTTTTATAGTTATTTATCAATTGTGCATAGAAAGGGATTTTTATATTAATCTCAAACAGTACAATGCTCTTATTCGAATAACTTGTCTATGGATACCCTTGAATGTTTTATGTAGACAGCCATACAGACTTGGAAAAGAAATAAAATTTTAAGAGAAGTAAATCATCTTGTTAAATCACGTATTCAAGAAACACATCGTAATGTAGGGAAATGTTACCTTATAATGTAAATTTGAATGAAAAGGCTGGTTATACAGGAGTTTGGCCCTATTCACTCTTTCCTGGATCGGATGGAAAGCATCTGGGAAGGCGGCAAGTGTGGGCCGAAATCCAGCCCGAACTTCACACCCAGGCCGTGGCGCCTGGTGTGGGACAGTGCCCACCTCCAGAGAGGAGCACCTTTCACCGAGTCCCAGGGGCAAAGACACCTTATGTGCTAGTCACTGCCCTGTTAAAACCACAGATAGCTTGACCCACACATGCAGTAAGATTGGCGCAAACGACTGGAAGGAAAACCCGAAAACATTTAGAGAAAATACCCTAAACCGTGTCTGGTTATAGGTAATAAGTTCTTAAAACTCTATTCTGTGTATCTTAATGAACGTGTACTCTTTCATATGTTACTTTTATACTCACAGAAGACTCCTATTTCGTATTCAAGAGGCTTGACAGGAGGTGTAGAAATTTGGGCTGAGTGAGGATTAACACAGGACAGACTGCTCTTCCTCAGTCTAGGGCCCCACAGGGCGTTGCGAGGAAGGCCCCACAGGCCCAGAGCCCAAGTTTACCCTGACGCTGGGCATGCTCGGGGCCAGGGGTCAGGGCACTCTGAGTATACGTACCAGGATGGGAAAGGGGCCCCTCACAGCCTTTCAGACGGAGTTTGTGTTAACAAAGGCATTCCCACCAAATGCAGGCTTTGAACAGAGCAAATATCCTACAAACCCCACAGAGTGATGCTTTCACTGCCTGAAGCCAAGCCTAGGCTTGAGGAAGGTAAGGATCTGTCAGCAGCTCCAAAGCCTGACCGTCAGAGGGAAATTACCAGGAGTCTAAGATCATTATTGCTGGGAAATAAAAGATTTACCGAACTTCCCAGTTCCCGGCAGTCATTTTGCATACTGGAAAGGAGAATGCTTGTGTAAGCTCCAGGAGCAACGTGTCATCAGGAGCCAAAAGGGAACGGAACCAAATGGATGCTTGCTTTCCAAATACATCCGAGCAGAAACAATGGCCAAGCAGTTTGGTGCGCGAGGTCTTAACGCTCGTGTGTGCCTGATGAAGCAAGCCTGCCATCCCGCCCAGCAGCTCGCGTTAGTGGGAATGCTCCCGGGGCGCTCAGAGTGGAGGAGGTGACAAGAACGCTGTGGGGCTGGGGCCGCAGTGGCTTACACTGTGATCTCTGAGAGCTGCTCCTTGGTCAGGTTCAGGGGCTGGCTTATGACAGTGACGCCATACTCCTCGGGGTTCCTGTCCGCGGGCAGGCTGGCCCGGAGGACGGCGTTGTGGGCCACGTTGAGGAAGCTGACCAGGGCATGCCAGCCTTTGTTGTTAAACCACACCTAGAGGGCGGAGACAGGGCTGTATCAGCCTCTGCCACCCCCCGGGGGACTCTGCCCTAACGGTGCTGTTTAAAGAAAAAATGAGCCGCAGGAAAAAGAATGTGAGAAGGCGGAAGGTTTTGGCAGCTGGGAGACATTCCAGGCCAGATTTCAACAGGAGGAGGGACCGAATCTAATTAAGCTGGGAACATAGAAATAGAAAAACCAGCTCATGTGAGTTTTCAGCTCTAGGGCAGGTTCTGCAGGGCTAGTACCTTAATGTTGTCTTCGGTTTCTAGATGTTTAAGGAACGCAGACATTTCTTTAGAGGCCTCTCTGGTGACAGGGCCCTAGAAAATCATAATAAGCAAGCAAGAGGGTTTCCCCCCCGCCTCCCTTTAGCACCCGGGATCATTTCTATTTCATGATAACTGGCACAGCGGAAGTTCTATCGAATCTCCAGTCTGTTTACGTACCCCGCTCACATTCATTAACTGGCCAAGGTCACTTAGAAATCCAACAAGTGCTTCCCCAGTGATGGGGAGACCTGGGAGCTTTCCTCCGACGGAAATTCCTCCGTACCTGCCAAGGGAACAAGCAGCACTCAGACCTGTGCCATGAACCGTGTGTGGGGCCTCACGGCTGCCGAGCTCAGTTCCGCAGGGAGTCGTGTGCTTCGCAGGGGTCATTTGGGCTATCCAGCAACACGGCTCTACCTTACAGACCAACTTCAAGAGAGACATTTTATTTAGTATTGCTTTTTTTTTTATTTTGTTGGGGAGGAGGTAATTAGGCTTATTTTTAGAGGAGGTACTGGGGATTGAACCCAGGACCTCGTGCGTGCTAAACGTGTGCTCTACCACTTGAGCTTTACCCTCCCCCACAAACCAACTTTTACCAGCTTCCTCATCACCTCCAGGGGTAGTCCTGACCCCTTCTGAGCTGGTGTCTGCCCACCTCTCCAGCTCCACTCCTCCTCAAGCCTCACCTAGAGGGGCCCCCTCCAGCCATGACCAGTCACTTCTGGCGCCCCCAGGGGTCCAGGCTGCCTCTGAGTCTGCCTTCGCAGGGCTGCTAGCTTCCCCAGGTGCCCTTCCCACTCATCTGTCCTATGCCATTTTCTCCTTGAAGTCTTCCCTGACTCTCCCCAACCCTTACCAGTGATTCCTCTTCTGTGCCCTTCTGTGCTTTGCAGGTGCTCCTGGTGTGCTGGGCTCACCACCACCAAGTCCGGCCCAGTCCGGCCGTGCCCGTCGGTGCCGCTCACCACCCCCGCCTTGACTCCTGCTCTGGTCTTGAAGTGGGATCCCAGCCTCAGGTCTCTCCTGTTCTAACCCATTTTCCTCGCTGCTCTGGAAATTTCCAGGGGTGGTACTCAAACCCTGTGGGCATGTCACTCCCTGGCTTAAAACCCTTCCATGGCAGCATAAAAGCCAAACTCCTCGACAAGCAAAATTAATTTGCTCGCTGGGCAAGGCAGAGGAGGACGACTTCACTTCTCAGGAACTCACCTTGTTCCTCCCATCTTTCTGCTTCAGCTAAGGCCCCCTCCCGTCCCTCCAGGGAGCGGTTCAGATTGGATTTCATTAGCATGGTCTAGAATCTGCCCAGGAAATCAAGTCAACAGAAGCCCTGCATTCATTCTAGGGGCCCTGTGTCCGAGGATACCTGGGAGGCCAGCCCATCCTAGACCATCCCTGGGGGATTCGCAAGCCTCGGGAACCACCCGAGCCTGCAGGATGCCTCAGGAACAGAGGGAGTCTGGGGCTGGGCCACAGCCCCCGAGGCTTAGAAGGAACGGGCCACGGAGCGCCAGCGCTTGGGTCACACGTCCTCCTGCTCTAACTGCTGCCGGCTTGGAGGTTTTAGCCCCTCCCTGGAGTGAGAGTGCCGGGAACTCCTCTCTGGGGAACACCACCTTTCATTTACGTCCTCCATGGGGATCTACCGCCGAGCACCTCTGGGCCCTGGGTGTCGGCAGCTACACATCCTTCCAGACAGGTCTCATGAATTCCGGAGCACATATGGAACAGCCCATCCACATGGCTTGAGGTGTGGCTTTTCTATGCGCAATTATTTTAAACAGAGAACCCTGGGATTTTTATTTCTTACAAAAATAGTTTCTTACCTCTGTTCGTTGACCCAGTATTTGCTCTTCAAGCTGAAAGCCAAAACAAATCATGCAGTGAATGCCACAAGAAGGACAACAGCGTTAACTTTCTTTCCCAAACACTCATTGGGGCATCCCAGTCTTCAGGGGCATTTTTGCATTTCCTGATCTCCAAGCAACGTGGAAACCTTCCAGCCCAGGGACCGAGTCTGAACACACAAGTGGAGAAAGGACTCATGTCTTCTGTTCCTGGCTCTTCAAGCCACATCCTGCCTCTGGGCTTTCTGGGTGGCCCTGTTGTCAGGCCATCTGTCAGATCATCTGGACCCAGAAAACATGGCAGTGACCACGCCCATGAGGAGTGAGGGCTGCAACCCTCCCCTCTTCCACTCTGCACGACGAGACCCTCACAGTCACCTGCACACCTGGGGGAAGTTATGAATTACTCTTAGCCCAAAGTTAAGAAACTAATTTCCAGCCAATTAGGGCAAAATTACAAAATAGGAAACGGGCAGACACTAGCTCCAGCCCTCAGAGTTCAGGTCCACGAACCACCACTGTCATCAAGCCCCAAACCCAAAATTCTGTGTCTCAGATTTGCTGCCCAGAGCCAGGTTTGGGATGATGGTTGTTTACTGCATTATTGGATCGATTCTGTGCACACTCCTTTGACCGTTGTGCTCGGACGGCGTCCTACGTTGCGCTGACCGCGGGCTTGGCCCTGCCTTCCCAGCAGCTGCTTTCAGCACCTACAGTGGACTAGGGCTAACTGAGTCTGCTGACCCCGTGTTCAGGGCTGGGAGGGGAAGCAACTGCAAACACTACTGAAGTTAGACAGTGTGTTTTATTTTGAAGCCCCAGAGAGCAGGGGCCTGGGTCCGCGCAATCCTCTCTGCAGCGTGTGCCTGTCGTGCGGGGATGGGGCTGCTGGAGCAGGGTCCCCCCAGCCCCGGGTGGGCTTGGTGAGGGCAGCGGCAGAGCTGGGAGGATCCATTGCGAGATGAAAGGGCAGCGACCCAGACGGCACGGCACAGTCAGAGGGTGACAGGTGCCCCGCCCGGGGCTCCAGCAGACACCACCCTGCTGCCTCTCTCCTATCTTGGCCTAGCTGTTTCCCTTCTCCATTTTGCTCCTTACTTCCCCTCTTGCATCTCTTTTTCCTCTGCCTTTCCCCCTTCCTCTCCTTCTTCCCTCCGAACTCCATCTCTTTCTCTTAGCTAGTTAAAAGATGAGGCTGTATTATTGGACAAATTCTATCCTTTCTTATTTTATTTGTAATAGTGCATGGGTTAAACTTGACTGCATGGACTACAAAAAACAAAAAACAAAACAAAATTAATGACCGGGACCTTGTGCTGTACGCCAGAAATTGACACGTGGTAACTGACTACACTTCAACTAAAAAGAGAAGTTGCATTGTACTGTAGAGGCCTAATTGCCTTTTTTTACTGTATGAGGACCTCAAATTAGGAAAAGGAAATCCCTGACTGTTGGTAAGTCACGAGAGGGAACTATCTTTGCTCCTACTCAGTGTTTCCCACGGGGAGCCAGGATGAAAAGTGTGAAACGGTCTCCTCTTACCTGCTTCGTATAAGAGCAGGATACGTTTTCACCAAGAAGTCAGAGAGGTTCCTGTCCGTGAGGTCTTGGAGAATCTCAGTGCTGCGCTGCATCCTCTGAGGCAAGGAGATATCTGCGTTAGTTACTTTGGAATTTGAGATGAAACTACTTGTTCTTCTCCAAAAATTATTTATACACAAAGAAATTATCACACACGGGGCCAATACTGAGCAAGGCGTTGGTGTCTCCCTCGTTCCCACAGCAGTGATGTGGGAGCCACCTCGGCTTCCTCTTTTCTCTGCTTCACTGACAAGATGGGACAGTTCTAACTTTAGGATGAATCCCCAGTCCATCTGCCTCTCTCCAGTTCTGCCACTGTCACCCCAGCCCAAGCCGCCACTTCCAAACTGGTCTCCCTGACCCCACCCGGCCCTCCTCAGTCCCTTTTCCATTCAGCAGCCAGACTGAGCCTTAACTATGTCGATCAGAACACCCCGCTGCCGTGCTGACCACACTCCATACCCCTGGGATCAGATCCAAGTTCGTTCCCGAGGCTGAGCTACTGCTCCCCCTCCCTCCCCAGCCTCCCTCACCCTCTGCTTCTCGGAGGCACACCTCGTTCTCGCTGTAGTTCTGTGCTCGGCAGCATCTCCCTCTGCCTGGAGTGTCCTCCGTGGACAAGCTCATGTGGCTAACTAGCATCATTCAAATCTCAGCCCAAAGTTCCCTCTTCAGAGAAGTACTTTCTATCTCTAGTCACAGATTGTATCATCTTTGCGTTTTCATCTCTGCCTGAAATTTTCGTTCCAACTGATCTGCTTGTTTTTGTCTATTACCTGCTGTGTGGTATAAGCTCTGTGAGAGCCAGGACACTCTGGGACTTGTTAGCTACTGTGTCCCCCGCACCCAGAATCTTAGCTGGAATATAGCTGACATGGTAAATTTGTGACGTGAGTGAAAACTCAAACAGTGCCTTACAATTTACAAACCATTTCCCCAAATACATCTAGAACTCCGAGTTAATCAAAAGATCGCAGAGAACTCAGAAGGGCCTGAGTCTGGCCTCCAGGTGGCAATGTCACTTTAAATTTGGGAATGCAGAGTGCTTCGCTTCTGGTTCATCATGAACCTGGTGTGTCAAGGGTGTCACCCAGAGGCAGCCGAGGAGATTTCTGGCGGTGTTAAACCACCGTCATCACACACCACTCCTTTCATCTTTACGTGGGGTCTCTCTCCTTCCCGCACCCTTTCCCATTTTACTTCCTTCTTCGGTTCCCTTTCTTCACCCTCCTCTCTAATACTGGGAGGAGAATTAGCATCTACGAACGCTTACTGTGTGCCAGGCACTGTGTTAAATGATGCTCCACGCACATTATCTCCCTTAATCCTTGTATCCCTGTGAAAGAGGAACTGTCGCTTTAATTTACAGGTGGAGGAACTGGTTCGGGAGGGTCAGCTGACCTGCCCCCTCGGGCGAGCCTCCATCTGCCTGACCCGTAGCCTTGCTTCCCTTGCTCTGTCACCTGCTTCTCCAGCTGAAAACAGCGCCCAGGTGAGCTGCCAAGCTGCCCTGGAGGGATCTAGGCTGGAATAATTGCTGGGGCCTGGGACTGTATGAGATACTAGTTTCTAAAAATTCTGTCGAGTGAGATACTCCTACCACCTAGTCTGCAAGCACTGTAGAGGTCAGGGACGGAGCTCGGCCCCCTCAGGACCCAACACCGTGCAAAGAATGTTAGAACAGGAAGGGAGGAGACTAAATCCCCCACCCCGTTTTCTAGACAAGGACAATTTCCTGCCCCTGAGTCAAGCCCGCCCTCCGGCCTTTTCCCAGGCTGAATGGGAGAGCGTGTGTAAGGGAGTGTGGTGCGTGGGTGTGAGCATGAGTGTGTGTGTGTGCGAGAGAGACACTCACGCATCCACAGAGCAGCTGCAGTGCCGATGCCCCCGAGAGGGGCATGAATGACGGCGAGGAAAGGCAGGAGCGACAGACTCACAGACACTGACTTGCTTTTGACCGGACTTCGGCCAGAGTAGCCTGTTAAGGTTATCCCTCAAGGGCCAGGCACTAACCACTGAAAATACATTTCTAAGCGGGAAGGCAGCCTTGAAGTTAGGAGCTGCTGAGGAACGAGTCCCCATGCAGCTGCGCTTAGCCCTTCCTCCCTGCCCCAGCCAAGAGCTCACTGTCCTGAGTCACAGCCTTACTGTTCTAATGCCGGATGGGTCTGAGCAGAAGCAGCCACAGGGTTTGCCCTCAGCAAACCCAACAGAAGCAAAGCTTCCTCTGGGGACAGAGAACTGGGGCAAGGTCTTGAGTCCCTCTTCTGGGGCCCCCAGGATGCTGCAGTGGCTGAGTTATGACACAAAGGGAGAATATATTGCTTGAGAAATAGAAAGGTATGTGCTTTCAGCATCAAAAAAGAGAAAGACAGGATGTACATAAGCACGGAATCATTTACAGGCGGCACCTGTGACCGACGCTGCGGCAAAATGCAGCCGTCCCACATCACAGCCCTGCCTTCCGCCATAGGCCATAGGAGCAGACCTTTTCTCTGGGTCAAGGCTCCCAGAATAAAGACTATAGCTCCCAGTCTCCCTTGACGTTCAGTTCTGGCCAGTGATGTATCCATGAACGTGATGCGCGGTAGCTTCTGGGGACCTTCCTTGCAGGACAGTGTATCCACACACTTCACCCTCCCTTGTTCTGCGCCATCTCTTCCATTTGCTACCTGGGAAGCAGACTCTGCCATCTCAGCCAACAAGGTGGAGGCCTGTTTACGGTAAAGGAGCAGCAAACCCGAGTGCCATGGGCCACCCGCATCCATCCACACGAGAGAAACAGATTGTGTCCTATTTTTATCCACTGTTAGTCTGAGGCTATCGTCACTGGAGTAGAATCTATTTCTAAATAGCAGCTTCTTTACCTATGTTATATCATTAAATTCTCATAATAACGTTAAAAAATAAATGCAGTTGTCCCCAGTTTATAAATTAAGGCTCAGAGAGGCCAAGTCACCAACCCATGGCTCTCTGACGCCGCCAAAGCCAGTGCTCGTACCACTTGCCACACTGCCTTTCAGGGCATCATTCATTCACTGGCAAATCATAAGAGAGGACCATGTCGGACTCAGCTCAGCACAAGTCAGCTGGGAGGCCTACGATCGACCCGAGACAAGGTGAGACTTTCTGGTTCCTTTCACTATCTCTGAAACCCATGTGAGAGGCTCCTGTGATATAGCATGAGTTCTGAACTCCCAAGAGAGGATGCTGCTCAAAGCCAAAACTGTTGATGTCCCTGCAAAACGTAGGTTGCTAACTGTGTGTGTGTGTGTGTGTGTGCATGTTAATGACACAGCACACAGCAAGCTTTCCAATCAAGACTATTAATAAGCGTGCATTTGGATGGATGCTACAATGCTGTTTATAATGGAGAAAAACTGAAAACCCTCACGTCCAAGAGATTCGTTAAACAAAATAAACCCAAACTGTAGGATAGTTTACAGGCATTAAAAATGGTGACGTCGATGTACATCTGTTTACGTGGACGTAGGTTCCTGACATGTTCTTAAGTGAAAACAGCAGTTTCAGGGCAGCATTTTGAACTTAATCCTGTTTGAATGGATAGAAACCAAGGGAGACTGGTAGTCATCCCCAAGTGACAGGACGATTATTTTTTGTTCTGACTTGTCTGTATTTTCTAATTTTTCTATACTGAACATGCATAATGTATGTATTTTTTTCAATATGTAAAGAGATTTTTTTTTTTACTGGATCAAACAGGAAGTGTTTGATGAAATGAAGCTTTTGGGCAGTGACTTCCCCCAGGTGGCTGTGACTGAGCCTCTGGGAAGCCCCTCATTTAGTCCTTCGATTAACTGTCAGTCTGAAACATTAGCTGGCTAGGAAGTCAGGAGGTGCAGTGGCCGGGCCGCGGGCGCCCCAGGGGTGCAGGTACCTGAGGGGGCGGGAGCCCCCCGGCGCCCTCGGGGCACTCGGGGAGCATGGTGAGCTTCTCTCTGGTGCTGCACCTGCAGGAAGGCGAGGGCTGGTCTGCTGTCCACTTCTGCTTCTGAAACAGGTGGGCGATGTCTGGGGACACAGAGGGGGTCTTCCAGGGGGTTGAGTTGCCACAGGGGAACTCCCTTATAGGGGACAAGAACACATTCCACAGTCAGAGCCAAAGTTGATAAAAATCCCTAAAAATGGGAACTAGCCCCCAACCCTCCTTCTTAGCCTTTCCTCCTTCTCCTCAGCCCCACACATTCTCTTCTATTCTTGGAGGTTAGTTGCTGCTCGAGAAAAATGAGGACGAGGATTTTGTTGCTAGCTATGGGGCTGGGGAAGCTGATCGAGTTTGTCTGTTTATGCTCCCTTTTATCTGCTGGCAGCTCTAGCTGTTGAAAGAAGAAATACAGGAGGAAGTTGAAATTTGTCTATTTTGATCCTTATCAATAACTCTGAAAAAGACTGGATGAGAGGAGCAGTTAAAATTACATTGGACTTTTTGGATTTTTGGTGGATTTCAACTGCCCTCTGTGACTCCCTTCTCTCCACTTAAAGCAATAATTGAAAGTTGGCCATATATGTAACTAATGCCATCCTAGGTCCAGTTAAACTACAGTACATCCCTTTGTCCCTCCTTCTCCTGTTCAGATTCCTTTCAAATAAGTTGTAAGAAGCATATATCAACTCAGTGTGGAACTTTCTATATTGAGAATTATAGAAATATAGTGCTGTCCAGTGATGGGTGGGGGGGGCTTCCTGAGGGCTAGAGAACACCCTTGCACATGGGTGAGTGCTGCTCAGGGGTATGGAAGTGTTCGGATAATACAGGGCAGGACTGAGATGGGGTCTCTCCCAACTCTGCCACCCGGCCCCCACCACTGGTGTCTCCCGGGGCAGCTGCTGGTGTCAGGGCAGGGGTGCACAGGGGCTTACGGAAGCCATCCTTCCTTTAGGCATCGGTTGCCAAAGCCTGGCTTGTTCACGAGGACGTCTGCAAGTGCCACGAGCCGCTCGCTGTCCGGCTGGTCCATGCTAGACAGAGTGAGGGGCTTACTCGATGGACACGTGACCGGGACAGACGTATAAAGCAGCCAACATGCAACTGAGCAAATGCCTGCCGGATGGCTGCTAGGTTCCAGGCATGTACATGAGGCACAGAACGCTGCCGTGCGGTGGTTACAGGTCTCCTGGGAAGGGGGTAGGCGACCTGAACATGCCCAGCGGTCTGATGGCACATCATGTCTGTGCCTCAAAAAGACGGGACTTCAACCCACTCGCCCAACTTTCACTTTCTCCTTCCTCACTCCTGGCAGTCCTGGGTGTCCACCTGGGATCACCTTGCCCAAGTGGCAGGTACATCGACTTCCTTCTGAGGGCAGCCCGAGGCCCCCATCATGCTGGGGACTGTCCCAGAGAGTGGGACGGTCAGGGCCCCGCCAAGCAGCAGGTGACCCGGCAGCCCCACAGCCCACGGAGGTGAATGATGCCCTTTGGGGATGTAGCCCACGCACCTGAAGAAGGTGTACTGCTGCCCATACATCCAGGGGTGAAGGGTCAAAGCAGGATATTCGCCAAAAGGAGGGATGATGACGGAAAGCATCAGAGCCAAAAACACAAAAGTGGCCGGGAGCACAATCTGCAAAAATAAACAGGGCAATGTGGGCTGTGAAATGTGGTATGCTACACATACACACACACACACACATTTTTAAGCATTTATCCTGCAGCCTCATAACTGGGCCCTGGTGGAGAAGGTCAGATCTGGGGGACATGATGGAAGGAGGCACAAAGGCAGTTGTGCAGGAGAAAATAGAATGTTCCGGGAACCTCTGAAGGATGGTTGAATCAGACCAGCAATGAACACTGAACACTGGAGCTGGGAAGAGCGGGGCCGGAGGTGAACCAGAGTTTCTGTTTCTGAATAGAAAATATAAAAAGACAAAGGGGACAGTGACCTTGAAATACAGAGTCATTGCAAAAATGAATGAAAACATGACTTTATCCTTCTCTGTAAAAATAAAACCAAGATCAACATATTCATTATTATTCTGTTTTCCCTGCTAAGTGAGATAGAAAACTTACAAAGAAGCATTGTGTTACCAAGAATCAACATAAAGGCTGGCAAGGAAGAAGCAAAGGTGACAACCCAGAGAGGGTGCTCATCGCTGGGTCTCACCCCCACCCCGTGCACGAGACAGCCTGGGAGAGGCCGGGGAGGCCGGGGGAGGGCCCGCAGGCAGGGCCACCAGCACACAGCACGGCCACAGCCTGCAGCAGTACCTGGGCCAGGAAGTCCTTGTGGCTGCGGACGGTGTGCTGGAACCGCTTGACCAGCAGCGCCTGCATGTGCTGCAGGACCAGCCGCGCTCCCGTGTTGAGCCGGCCACGCCCCTCCCGCTGGGGGGAAGGCGGGCCCTCGGGCTGAGGAGCCGGCCCCCCGCCCTGAGGAGTGGGCCTGGCCCCCTCACCAGGACCCAGACAGGGGTGTCGGAGGCTGCTGTTTTCTCTTTTCTGCTGAGAGCCGCCTGGTTTGGGAGATGGAATTAGTAATTTAGAAAAACATTCACAAGGTCTGGATCTCATAAGCTGTTTTCTCTTAATGTGTTGATTTTCCCTTCACTTAAGTCAGCAACAAAACATCAGGCCAGGAAGGTAATAAATGCTTAAACATTCTACTTTCTAGGATAAATCATCTACAGACAGAATTGCCTGAAATTGCTTAACAATTCTCTATAGCAGTTAAAAAGCACAAGACAGAGAGGTCTAAACCACATGAGTAAAAATAAGGCTGCAGAAGGCTATGTGTGGTGAGACCATACGTATGTTAGCGAGCACACAGCTCACATATACACATGCACTGACAATGTGCATGCACGCACGAAGCTCTGAGAGAACACCCATCGCTGTTAACACAGGTTACCGCGGACAACGACGGCAGAGCTGGGTGAAGGGCAGGGGAGGAAGTGGGAGGGTGATTTCGGCCTTTTTATGTATTATTTGAATTTAACAACAAAACGCATTCACGTATAACCTGTGCACACAAATACGTAAAAGTCAGAGTCAGTTCTTTCTAAACTTTTGGAGGCTCCTGAAAAGTAGAGGAAAGACTGATGAGCTGGGAGTTAGGAGACCTGTGTTTGCGTCCTGACTCTTACCAGATGTGTAAATCTGGCTGAGTGACTCAACCTGGCTGAATCTGAGTTTTCTCATCTGTAAAATGAGAACGAGAATATTTCAAGGGTTGTTATGAAGATTAAACGAACTAACACATGTGAATGCGCTTTATAAACCACCGCAAGTCCTCCGTTTTATTGAAGCTACAGTTGACCACCAATGCTTAATACCCATTTGCAGAGCATGTGGCTGCACGTGGAGACCCTAGAGGACCGCTGGGTGGTCCCCGGCTGCTTGCTCCTGAAGTCCCCCAGGACAAAAGCGGCTAGGAAGGGAGCGGGTGAGCTGAGCTGTCCCTTCAGTGGACGCTCACAGGCACCTGCGGTGCGCCAGGCCCGCTGCTCAGAGGGTGGAGAGTCCCCCCAGGCTCACCGACTAGCTGGACCCAGATCCCAGTTCAGTCTCCCTTCTCCTGATCTGGGCTCAGACCTGAGGTCTCCTGTGGCTGGCCCTCCCTCTGGGGGGTTTCTGTTGCCTCTCCTCATGTCTGTCCTCTGAACTTTGCTCTCCCTGATGCCCCACCCAGACTGGAGTCCACCGCCAGGGCCAGAGGTGAGGGCTCCAGGCTTGTTCAGAATCAGTTTGTCTCTGGCTTTCTGCTGCCCTCTAGAGGCCACTGGCAGTGAACCACCCTTCAGAAATGGCTTGGACCCTCTTGGTACCACGTGATGTTTGACTCCAT